ACCCTAAACCCTAAACCCAAGGTGTCAGTGGGATGGTGGCTCGCTTTGCATCTGTGCGGGAGAGGGCCTGGACTGTCACTCTAGAATTATTGAGAAAACCTTCTGCGGTTCCATGCATGCATAAGGGTTTAGGGTTTAGGGTTTAGAGTTTAGGGTTTAGGGTTAAGCCCTATGAAAAGCCGGAATGTGAGAGTTTCCAGTGATAGTGTACAAATCCAGGTCAGTTTGACGCCCCGCCCTTGTGCCGCGACTCGAGAAACAGTGGTGATGAGTGGCTCCTGCCTTCAAAGATGCTGGCAGGCATGGGGGTCGATGCGACAGTATTCATCTGGATCTTCTTTGCGATCACTTTTGTTTTACTTGCCGCCGCTTTGCTCCTTTGCCATTTCTGCTGTCCGCACAGCCGAAGAGGTGAGAATCAAGTGTCCACCAAGAAACCGCAGGCAGCACACGCCGCGGAGCCAGAAGTGTGATACGAGGCAGTTTCCATCTGGGTCTTTAACAGTTTTGAAAACAGCTCACATGCTGGCAAAGAATAGTCCTCCAGCCCTAAGGCCTAAACCGAATAACCCTATAACCCTAAACCCAATAGCCCTAAACCCTAATAACCTTAAACCCCATAACCCTAAACCCGAATAACCCTAAACCCTACAGCCCTAAACCCTGCAGCCCTAAACTCTAAACCCTATAGCCGTAAGCTCTAAGAACCCTAAACCCTAATAAAGTCCCAAAACCAGTGGTCCCACGTGGCCTTCACAATGCAGGCCGCTAAGCAAGCCTTGCGGCTTTGTTTAGCGAACTGTGAGCATGTTTTGCTGGTCCAAATGGCTTAGGGTCTAGGGTCTAGGGTTTAGGGTTCTGGGTTCAGGGCTTAGGGTTCAGGCTTCAGAGCAAAGATAAGAACCAAGTAACATTGTTGTTTTTATATGAGCCATGGTCCAAATTCCTTAAAGGGGAATTATGTAGGGGATTATACAGGGGGTATTATAGCGGTTATTCAGGGGGATATTAGGAGTTTAGACAATGCCTCATATATGCATATACGCGTATATAGTTAGACATGTGTGCGTGTATACATATATATATATATACACGTACATATTTGGAAAGGGCGCCGCAGGGCCCCGAAAGGGTGCCTGCATGATCTCCTGCAGAATCTACGCAGTATGCAACGTCCGTACATGCGTACATGTAAGCAAGTATGTATGCATGTATGTATGTATGCACTCACACATAGTATCCGTGTAGAGACCCCTAAAAGGAACCAACCACTAATCTTCGACATAACTATTCAGATTGACTCAAGCCCTAAACCCTAAACCCGAATTTTGAGGAGGACTCTTCGCCCAGGTTGAGGGACACAACGTCCCAGCTGCATGAGCCAGCTGTAACGATGAATCGTAAAGTGCTTGTAATTCATGAGATGTGGGGAGGGACCTTTGGGTGCCTTTCTTGTGGTTGCCAGCCCTCCCCTTATTTCATGGCAAGCGATGTCCGTGTAAAGTGTACAGACAAGGCAATGTCCCAAGCAAAAGGAGCCTTCCTTTCATGTACGGCTGTGATTCAGACCTCCTTTTTACAAGCCCTTCGGCAGATATTTAGCACTGTGCATTTTAATGTACTGTCTTCTTGTGGTATACTCGCTGATACTTGCTGGTTGTTGTGGGCAATGGATAGCCATAGTAACCCTCTATGTAGTCCTCAATAATATAGTAGCTTCCATTTGCAGGTTCCATGCTTTCCTTCCCTAGTAATGTAGACCCCTGATTCATAACCCCCCTCCTCTTAAAGGGATCCTAATATTAGGGCCCTTGAAAGGAAGGGGGTTTATTAGTCATGGGTCCTTGGACCCTAAACAGTATATTCCATTTCCTTTTCCATTATCCCTATAGAATACCTGCATTAGCAACCTACAAGTTTTTTGTGGACCGTAACACTGTTGCAGCGAAGTAGAGCCAACTTGTCCAGAGGGCCATGGAGGAACGCGCCAGGGTTTTCTGAAGTACATGGCCGGTCGACCGGTTGAAGATGTTGGCCCCAAGCCCTAAACCCTGATGGCGACGCCCTAAACCCTAAACCCAAAACCCCAAGCCCTAAACCCTAAGCCCTAAACCCTAAAGGCCATAGTATGATTGAAGATAGTTTTGTGTTGAGGCGTAGCAGCTGTCATGGGCAGCATAGAGGTCGGAATCATGAAGTGGGCTGCGCGGAACCTTTTGGGTTGAAGCGCCAAGCCCTACACCCTTCACCCTGGAATCTTATAGCCTCCTTAAGTAGATATAATATGGAAGTCTCTAAAACCATGTAAGATCCCGTATACCCTATATTCTATCTACTTAAGGTGGACTATATACCCCTAACCCTAATTCTCAACTATCGCACTTCACTCCACAGGGGTGTTGGCCATGGTCCCATGCAGCAGGTTCTGTGTCTTCACTGTTCGGACGTGACATGAGTTTTTTGGGGTGTAGGGCAGTGTAGGGCGGCAATGTTGATTTCTACCATCCCCCTACTGTATGTGATGCAAGAGACTTCCTGCAATTCTGTTTGACCCTTCAGGTGGGCCTAGCGAATCCATAGCCGATGCTATTACCCTGGTGGCAGCTGTAGTAGCAAACTGCGAGTGGCTAAGTCCAGGCAGGTCTTTACCGTGGGCATTCATCTACCCAAGTAGGGAACGAGGGAACGAATCTCCATAGTAGTCCCCATATGAACTTTAGTCTAAACTCCTTAAAGGGGGTTGTATAGCGGATTGTACGGAGACTTATATCGGGCTTATTAAGGGGGATCGTAGGAGTTTAGACTATGGCCGGATCCTCCCTACACCCTGAGCCCTAAGCCGCTTCCCTTCTCCTTCGGAGCACGGAGTGACTTATCACCACATCCTACGCGGTTTAGGGTTTAGGGTTTAGAGATAATGTGATGCCTGTTGCCTGGACCCGAAGAGGCCGGGATAATGGAAAAGAAAATGGAAAGTGCTATATTATATGGGGGCAATATGGGGTCTATAAGGGGTGTATTTAATCTGGTATATTGTAATATCGCAATTCCTCTTGTATCAGACCAAGATAGAGGGGGTTAGATTAGCTTATCATAACTTCTGAGCCCAGCTAGTTTTTGTGAGGGTTGTACTCAAGCAGTAGAATCGCGTCAATTCCCTAAATGCTAAACCCAAAACCCGAAACCCAAAACCCCTATCCAATGACAGACGGCCTCGAATGATAATCTTCATAATCACCGGGTTTCGAGATGAGCAGAGTACTTGGAGGGTCAGGCAGACTGAGTAAGTAGGTTCATAGCCCTGAAAAGCCGTATAACACCCAAGTTATCCCCATCCTTAACTTACATAAAAAAGACACACCAAACGTGGACCACTAGAGCTTAATGCGCTCGTTGGATATTCACCAAGATATTTCCGCCCCATGGTTTTAGGCCCAGCATAAGTTCAGGGTTTAGGGTTTATCTTCCGATCTTCCCTCTAATTCTACTGGCCTCAAAGGCACTGTAGCCGCACCCATCGTGAGTTTTCTGTAGACCCTGGGCCCTAAACCCGAAACCCCAAACCCTAACCCTGAAACCCTAAACCCTAAAACCCTTAACTTTGAACCCTTGACCTGAAACCCGACACCCCAAACCCCATAAACCCCAAGCTCTAGAGCCTAAGCCGGAAACCCCCATCCTAACCCCCGGTATAGGGTGTAGGGTTTAGGGTTCCAGGGTTTAGGGTTTGAGGATTTTAGGGTCTCGTGTTTAGGGCAAACTCCAAACCCTAAACCCCGAACCCTAACCTGGAATCCTCGTTTGGCAGGTCGTGGTCTTGCCGTACTGCCAGGAGCTGCGTGCCTAACGGCCTAAGCATTTACCACCTCTATAGTCCCTAAAGTCCTTGTATACTGATGGCACCCCAAACCCCAAACCCTAAAACCCTAAACCTATAGGCAAACAGACCTCAAGATGGTATTGGTAAAATTTCAAGTTCATCCCTAATGTTGGACCTCCTTTATTGTAGAGGTCCCCTATAATGCGTTTTGGGGCTGGCTTACTCAGGACCTGGGCCATGATTGGAAGGTCCCCTATAATGTGTTTGTATTTCTGGGGCCTAAAAATACAGGAAGGATTCTCAACAATCCCTTTGAAATCAATCTACAGGGACCTCAGAACCGTCGGAGCTCAAGGGGTCCGTATTGAGGATCCCTAATTTCTACATTTTTCGGAGGGGCCTATTGTTAGGGGGGGGGCATACTTATTAAAGAGGGCCCAACATTAAAAGCTTCCAATATACAAATCCTGACTCCATTCATGTTTCATTTTTTCTGAGAATCTTATGGGTAACTGTTTACGGCTTTCAACTCTGAACCCTTAACCTTGAAATCTAAACCCCAAACCCGAAATATTTCAGCAGTTGCCATTATCATAACCCTAAACCCTAAACCCGTTTTGCCTCCACAGCAGCTTCAGCGTCATGTTAATTACGGGCTGAAACTCTCAGCCTCCTCTTGGGGCATATGGAGGTTGTTCCAAAGGTCCTTGCAAAGAAGGACTACTGGGAATGCACCTCCTCTTAAGGGGGGATCCGAACCAAAAAAGTGACCTACTTTACTAGCATTTTGGGAGCAGGTATGTTGAACACCTACCATTTAGTGTTTGGGAATTTGGGTCAATGCTTTTCTGAAAATTCTGAGTCCCTCATTACCGGAACCGCTATTCGGAAGAGCTTGGCATGTACCCTTACAACCCTAAACCCCAAACCCTCCTATACCCAAAACCCCAGGGTCCTGAAGTGTGTTCGGAGGCTCACTCATTCTGCAAAGGCAGAAGCCTGAAACCTAAAATTTTCAAGACCAGACGACCTATAGTATAAACTCCTTAAGGAGGGTGGTATATAGGGGATTATCTAGGGTTTAGGGTTTAGGGTCTAAACTCCTTAGAGGGGTTACATAGGGCATTATACACCGGAGTGTTATAGGGGCTATTAAGGGGGATACTAGGAGTTTAGAGTATAACTCTATAATCACCCATATTTTTCCATTTGATTCTCCATTATAGGGGTTATTAAGGGGATACTAGAAGCTCAGATGGAGTCGTAATTTCCTTAGCTATCAAAGCTCCCAGTCTCAAAAATCCGACCCCCCCCCAGATCCTCAGTGGTTGTAATGAGTCCCAATGCCGAAATAAAGCGTTTAAGCCACAATCCCGAAACCTGAATGCCTGAATCCCATGGTCCTAAACCCTACACCCCACACCCCAAACCCTAAACCCCAAAACCCTAAACCCTAAACCTCAAGCCTTGAACCCCTGAACCTAAACCCTCAAGCCCGGGCGAATGATTTCGTGCTTGAGGATTTTAACTTCCCAGGACACAACTAGAGTTTAGGATTTAGGTTGGGTACGCCCCCCCTCAGTAGCAGTTGGATAATAAGTAGAATATGGTTATATATAGTCCTTAATAGGACCCCTAATATAGACTGTTACT